GAGGAGGCAGTTGTTCATGGAGGTTATTAGCTATACATTCCATAACCTCCTCTTATTCCTCACTGTTTCTTCCTCTGTTGAATAGAGACAATATATACCTATAAGAAAGACCAGTAACTACGGCTATTATTCAAATTTATGCATCAACCACTAATGCCAAAGATGAAGAAATTAAAGATTTTTACCAACTTCTGTAGTCTAAAATTGATCTAACATGTAATCAAGTTGTATTGATAATTACTGGTGTTTGGAATGTGAAAGTCAGAAATGAGGAAGAATCAGTTATTGGAAAATATGGCCTTGGTGATAGAAATGATGCAAGAGATTACATGACAGAATTTTGCAAGACCAATGACCTATTCGTTGAAAATACCTTTTTCAACAAAACTGGCAACTATACACATGGATCTTGCCAGTTGGAATATATAGGAATCAAATAGACTACATCTGCAGATAAAAGATAATGATGAAGCCCAATATCATTAACCAGAACAAAGCCAGGGGCCGAATGAGGAACAGACTATCAATTGCTCGTATCCAAGTTCAAGGTGAAGTGGAAGAAAATTAAAACAAGTTCATGAGAACCAAAATAAGACCTTAATTATACCCCACATGAATTTAGAGACTGTCTCAAGAATGGACTGGACTTATTGAACACAAATGACCAGATGAGGTGTAGGATAACTCAAGGACATACACATGAAGAAAACAAAAGATAATTAAAAATACAGGAAAGGAAGAAAAAACCAAAATGATGTCAGAAGGGACTATGAAACTTGCTCTTGAATGTAAAGTAGTTAAAGTGAATGACATAAATGATGACATAAAAGAGGTGAACAGAAGATTTCAAAGGGCATCTCAAGAAGATAAAGTATTATAATGAACTATGCAAAGATGTGGAGCTAGAAAACCAAAAGGGGAAGAACACAACTGGCATCTCAAGCTCAAGGAACTGAAGAAAACATTTAAGCCTCAAGTTACAACACTGAAGGATTCTATGTGCAAAATACTGAATGATGCAAGAAGCATCAAAAGAAAATGGAAGGAATACAGACAGCCACTGTACCAAAAAGAACTGACAGACTTTCAACTATTTCAGGAGGTAGAATATGAACAAGAACCAAAGATACTAAAGAAGTCTGAGCTGTCCAGAGCAAAGAAGAATGAAGAAAACCAAAATTCATGGAAACAATTAGTCCTAGAGACTGGTACACCATCCGATCTGCAGCCTATACAACTATGAGACCAGAACTAGATGGTGCCCGGCTACCACTGTCATCCACATGGAATGGGGATCTATGTAGGAGATCCTGGATAGAGAGGGAGAACAATGTGGAACAAAACTCAAAATCATTTGGAGGGAAAAAGAAAAAAAGGTGGGGACCAGGTTTGCTGATCCGATAGAGCCTGGTGGAACCACTGAGACTATGGCCCCTAGCTGCCCTTCAGGTCTGGAATTGAACCCACACCTGTGGTTTCTAGCCAAACAAAATACAGGCATGTGAGTTAAACATTTACCTCAAGTAGATACACGCCTTGGAGAGAACAATCATGAGAGAAAGAAGGGCTGCTTATGCACAGGGAGACAGCTCAGGGGGCAGGAGCCCATGGAGGGATGTACACTGGGAAGAGGTAACTATGGGGAGGAAGTGGGAGGGGAGCTGCTGCATTGTGGTAAACTGTGGTCAATGACATGAAACAAAGTATATGTGAACTGCTGTACGGAAAGTTTGCTCTATAAATCTTCACCCAAATCACACACATAAAAGAAGTCTGAGCTGCACCAAAGGCACTGGGAGAAAATAAGCCTCCAGGAACTGACAGAACAGCAATTGAGATGTTTCAACAAATAGATGCAATGCTGGAAATGTTCACTCGTCTATGCCAATCAATTTGGAAGACAGCCAGCCACCTGGTCAACCAACTGGAAGAGATTAATAATAGTGCCCATTTCAAAGAAAGGTGATCCAACACAATACTGAAATTATCAAACAATATCATTAATATCATACCCATGTAAATTTTGCTGAAGATGATTTAAAAATGGTAGCAGCAGTACATCAACAGGATACTACCACAAATTCAAGCTGGATTCAGAAGAGAATGTAGAACGAGGGATATCATTTTTGATGTCAGATGAATCTTGGCCAAAAGCAAAGAATACCAGAAAGATGCTTACCTGTGTTACATTGATTATGCAACAGCATTAGACAGTGTGGATCATTAACAAATTATGGATAACATTGTGAAAAATGGAAATTCCAGAACCCTTAATTGTGCTCACAGGGAACCTGTACATAGACCAAGAGGCAGAGCAAGGGGCTACTACATGGTTTAAAATCAGGAAATGTGTACGTCAGAGTTTTATCCTTTCACCAACCATACTTATTCTCTCTGTATGCTAAGCAAATAATCCGAGAAAATGGATTTTATGAAGAACATGGCATCAGGATTGGAGGAAGACTCATTAACAACCTGTGATATGCAGATGACACAACCTTGCTTGCTGAAAGTAAGGATGATTTGAAGCACTTACTGATGAAGATCAAAGACTACAGTCTTCAGTATGAATTATACCTCAACATAAAAAAAACAAAAATCTTCACAACTGGACCAATGATCAACATCATGGTAAAAGGAGAAATGTCTGAAATTGTCAAGGATTTCATTTTATTTGGATCCACAATCAACACCCATGGAAGAAGCAGCAGTCAAGAAATCAAACGATACATTGCATTGGGCAAATATGCTGTAAAAGACCTCATATTAAAGTGTTATAAAGCAAAGATGTCACCTTAAGGACTAAGAACATTCCACCCAAGCCATGGTATTTTCAATCACCTCACATATATGCAAAAGCTGGACAATGAATAAGGAAGACTGAAGAATTAATGCCTCAGAATTATGGTGTTGGCAAAGAATATTAATTACATCATGGACTGCCAGAAGAGTGAACAAATCTGTTTTGGAAGTACAGACAGAATGCTCCTTAGAAATGAGGATGTAAAGACTTTGTCTCACATACTTTGGCCATGTTACCAGGAGACACCAGTCACTAGAGAAGGGTATCATGCTTGGTAGAGAATCAGTATAAAAGAACAAGACCCTTAATGAGATGGATTGACACAGTGGCTGCAATAATGGGCTCAGATATGTGTGAGGATGACACAACTGGGAAGTGTTTTGTTCTGTTGTACGTAGGGTCACCACAAGTCAGAACTGACTCGATGGCACCTAACAACAAAAACAGGCTGCTGAAAGTGGCAGCCAACAGGAAAGAGGCGAGAAGTCAATATCACAGAGGACAAGGGTATTAGGTAACGGCTGAGCTCCAAGAAAGTCATAGCCTTGGCTATGGAAAGGCAAAGTGGTCCTTCCTGATCTAGTGCCCAGAAGCAAAAAACAAAGACATAACATCTCTCAGACCTATCTTCTCATCATCATCCACATTCATCTGTGTCATTTATCTATTCACCGTATCCTATCACCTGCCGTGGGATGGTAGGAGCACAAGAATGAATAAAAAGTCTGTTTGTCAGGATTTTGCAATCTTGTCAAGTGCTGAGAAGAGTGGGCTCAGAAAGGTCCCCAGATCCCCATTTTCCTGGGGGCTCGGGACTTTCAGAAATTCCCTCTTTAGAACTTAATAACAAGAACCCTAGGCCTGGGAGGCTGTCGTTACTATTCCTTAAAAAAAAAAAACAAAAAACAAAAAAACTCACTGCCCTCAATCCAACTCATAGCGACCCCTCATTGGGTTTCTGAGGCGGTATCTCTGGTAGCATAGTGGCTAAGGTACTTGACTGCTAACCAGAAGGCTGGCGGTTCAAACCCACCAGCCACTCCCCGGAAGGAAGCAATCTACTTCCGTAGTGATACTGCCTTGGAAACCCAAGGAGGGGTCGCTATGAGTCGGGTTCAACACGTTGGCACATAACAACAACAACAACATCAGTACAGAAGTAGATTGCCCATCCCTGACCTATGGCTATAGTATATCCAGATCTGAAGGGGGCCTAGATTACCGAGAGAGGCCCCCACAGCCTGCTAGAGCAGAAAGGACTTCAGACTTCATGTTCCAAAGTTTCATGGTTCCTAAGGTCTCAAACTCCATAAACCAATTCTGGTGAATTGGGAAAGCCACCTGACCTCTCTGGACCTATTTTCTGGCCTGTGTACTATTATTTTATTTTTTTTAAAAAAAACTTTTCAAGTTCTCTCCTGTCTAAACTTATTTGAGTCATCCAGAGCTGCTTAGCTACTCAAGCTTAGGCAGTGGTCTCATCTCAAATTCAAACCAGAGGTTTCACAAGCCCAATCCTTAACGTGACACTACTCAAAAGTTCAGACTTAGGTCCTAACCACAACTCTCACGGATCCCTGGCCTACACCCATCCCCAGCTTTCAGATGAGTAGGGGCTTTCTCTCCCACCCCCCTAACTTAACCAGCTCACACAGGTCACACTCACTTCTCCTCATCAGCAAGCACGTGCCAGCTCCCAATCTGCCCTCCTTGCTGGAGATGCCCCTCCACCTCTATTCATTAATCATTATCAAAACGTTCCCCTACTCCCACCGCCTGGACTCTTACCCTGATTCTGGTCAATCTAACCTGAGGAGAATCTAGGCCATAAACCTCCCTGCCTCCACTCAGCCTGTAATCCAGATGACCAGGACTCAACCTACCCGCCAAAACGGCTCAGTACCTAACCCCTAAATCGGCCCTCAGATCCCCTGACAGGGCACCTCAACCCTGGATCCCTCAAAAACTCCCATGTTAATTCAAAGTCCCTCAATTTACAATACCGACCCTCGCCCAAACGCCTCACCAGAACCTGAGCCCTCAGCTATCCCTTTTTCCACCTTTCCAGGACTCAGCCTGCAAACCCCGGATCTCCACAGCCCCGCGGTCCCGCTCCCGGATCAAAAGGCTGCCGAACCTCAGGCCCCCCTGACCTTGCTCCGCGAGTTCCGCCGCTGGGCTCCGCCCGGCCGCTCACCTGGGTACCCTTGCCAGCTCCGGGCGGCCCTAGCAGCACGGCCCGAATGCCTTTAGGACACTCTTGGGTCGGTTCATCCGCTGGCATGTTGGGAGCCATGTCTACGGACACTTCTGGCTACCACCAGTCCGCACACCTCACAGGTTGAGCGTTCCCAAGCCAGCGCTCCACGCACGACACGCACGCCCAGCTCGCCACTCACACTGGCCCGTTTGGACGTCCGTCAGCGCGCTGTGCTCGCCCCTGAGTGCGACGGACACTTCAATGTACCAATCAGACGATGATATTTTAGAAGACTTCTTTTGATTGGATAGAATTAGTAAGGGAGTAAGGAAGGGGCGGTCCAGCATGGAATGAGGGGCAGAGTGCTGCCCTTGGAACCTGTGTGCAGAGTAGGCGGGAAATAGTGAGAAAGCTCAGGGCCCCAGGCCCGGCTGAGAATTGTGATTCGGCTTTTGACAGTTTTAGAGGCCAGCAACTCCGGAGTCCTGTGAAATTTCCCGTGGGAGTGTAAATGGGTAGCAATCACTTTCAGAAGACAAATTGGTAGTAAGTATCAAACGCCCTTTGGGCCAGCTATTCAAAGGACATAAGGAAGAATATATGCAAAGATTTATGTGACAGAGTTGTTAATTGCAGAAAAGAGAAAACCAAAATCCCAAATATCTAACATCACCACTACTGCCATAGAGCTGATTCCATTTCAAAGCAATCGTGTAGGACAGAACAGAACTGCCCCATAGGTTTTCCAAGGCTGCATATCTATACCGAAGCAGATTGGCTCATCTTTCTCTCGCAGAGTGGCTGGTAGGTTCCAACCGCCAGCTATTTGGTTAGCAGCCGAATACTTTAACCACCACGCCATGAGAGCTCCTTGAATGTCTAACAATGAAAGTTAAATAAATTGCAACAAATTTGTATGTTTGTGTAAAACGTTATTTGTATAAAACTATTTAATCACATGGGAATATGTTCACTAAGCACAATACAAAATTGCAGTTACATAAAACTCCTAATTTTACTCCATAGTTACAAATGTTGATCTCTGTAGAGTTTAATCACAGCCTTTTATGATCATGTTAAAATGTAGATTCTGAGTTAGTACATCTGGGGTGGAAATGCAAATTCGCGGCAGGGGATCAAACCGGAATGAACCAGTTTGAAGCCTTGGATTATAGTTTAACCCCTTTGTGCATTTTTATATCTTCAAAAATTTTACAATGAATTGTGTAATAAATAGGTATTGTCTTTGCAATTGGAAAATAACTTTTTTAAGTAAAAAAATAAAACTCACTGCCCTGGAGTTGGATCTGACTCATAGTGACCCCTCCCTGGGTTTCCAAGGCAGTATCACTAAGGAAGTAAATGCCCAACCTTCCTTCCGAGGAGTGGCTGGTGGGTTTGAACTGCCAGCCTTCTGGTTAGCAGTCAAAAGCCTTAGGTACGATGCCGCCAGAGCTCCTTTTTTTAAGTCAGGAAAAGATAATTTTTTTTAAAAGAGAGGACCCTCTCTTGGAAGGGCAAATAATTTCTACAGCTTTTCAGTGTATGAAAGTTTCATCCACATGCTCTATGAAGCAACTAGTGAGTCCCTGGCAAGATCAGTCCCAGGGGCCTCTCAGACCTTTCACCAAGAGTGTGATTATGAACTACTGTGTTCTGTACAGGCTCATTTTCTACATCCTAGTGCTGGATTTGCTATCCCTCCAACTGCAGTTTCTTCTATTTTACCACACAGAGTAAATTAACATTTATTCTTTATCTCCACACTGGACTTTCACAAGGTGCCTGCTTGATCTTGTTTTATCCTCCCAATGATCTTGAAGAAGGCAAGGATTACTATGCTCATTTTTCAGAAAGGAAACTGAGGCCTAGAGACATTCAGTGATCAGTCCCAAACTATACATTGACTGAGTTGCAGTTCAGGCTGGAGATAAAAGCTGGTGGCCCAGAGAGGTCTTGTCAGGGGCAGCTTGGGGAGCAAACACATGAAGTTGTGGTAGTCTCTATGTGGCTCAAATTAACTTCAATTCAATACAACAAGGATTTATTGAGATTTGCTGTGTGCAGGGCACCAGATGAGGGGCACCAGATTAGGTCTATTAGACCTAAAGGTGAAGATAGCTTCCCCTTCCACCTCCAATTCCTATGGTGATTCTAACCAGATATAGACCCCTAAAATGTAATATTTATTCATTCAGTTAAAAAATTATTCTAAGCTTTGGGGGCATACTAAAGATCACAAAAGGAGTATTGACAGGAAAAGAAGGAATACCTCATTTATTTATTCAATCAGCAGTTTTAATTATTAATAATAACTGCTGCCATACACCTATCATTGAGCACTATGTCATTTTGTCGTACTGTGGTGGCTTGTGTATTGCTGTGAGGCTGGAGGCTATGCCACGGGTATTACAAACACCAGCAGGGTCACACATGGTGGACAGGTTTCAGTGGAGCTTCCAGACTAAGAGAGACTTGGAAGAAGGAAGAAGGAAAGAAGGCCATCCACTTCTCAAAGAACTGGCCAGTGAAAAGCTTTTGAATAGCAGTGAAATACTTTCTGACATACTCCTGGAAAACATGATGAATAGCCCTGAAACATAGTTGATATAGTGCCAGAAGATGAGCCCCTCAGGTCAGAAGGCACTCAAAATATGACTTGGGAAGAGCTGCCTCCTCAAAGTAAAGTTGACCTTTATGACATGGATGGTATAAAGCTGTTAGGACCTCCATTTGCTGATGGGGCACGACTCAAAATGGGAAGAAACAGCTGTAAGCATTCATTAATAATCAGAACATGGAATGTATGAAGTATTGCAAAAAGGACTTGGGGCACCATGTTCTGACTTCCTCTAACTTCACAAGAGGAGGACAGAATCACCATCAACAGCCCAAGGCTTATTCCTATGAAGCCAGAAGTGCCACCACCCTCCAACCTTTTTACTAATTCTCACACCAGCCGTCCCTCCACCGTACTCACTTCTCTGCTGGATTCAATAATTCATCACAATGGCCATACAGAACTCACAGACAATACTCATGATTATGGGGTTTATTAGAGAAGTAACAAGTTACAATTCTGATTCACGAATGCACTCAGGATACAGTTCTTCCAACAGGACAGTCTCCCCTCTGCTTTGCCCTCAGGCTCACCTCTCTGGCCCTTGGCCTCTCAGCCTGGCCTCTGCTCTGCTCTGCTCAGGTAAGTGTTACGAAGCTCTTTTAGCTCTGCTAATAGGTACACCTACATGCACCCCCCTTTGCCAGCAAGCTTCCTGACCAAGGGTGCACAGCGTTCTCACTCTGTGGGCTGCAAAGCCTGCTGTTCTGTCTCCAGCCTCTTGGTTCTTCTGTTGCATTCTCTCAGCCAGCTGTCTCTCTCTGCCAGGTGTCTCTGCCAGGGAGGTCCAGTGCAGGGATATTGGGTCCAAGGACACACTCTACTTCACCTCCAGCTCTTCTCTCTTTATGGCAGTGAGATCCCACTCTCTTTTCTATGAAGGCTCATTTTAAGCCTGACAGAGTGACAAAACTAACCAATCCCAAAGTCAGAGTCCTACACATCTTATTTTCATGGTCCCACCCAGTAATCTGGTGGAAGTTACAAAGACTATGGCTGAATACCAAGTAATTCACTGCACCACAAGTATGAATGTAGGAAAATTGGAAGTTGTCAAAAATGAAATGGAACTCATGAAGATTGATATCCTAGGCATTAGTGAGCTAAAATGGACTGGTATTGGCCATTTTGAATCAGACAATCATATGATCTACTATGCTGGGAATGACAAATGGAGGAGGAATGGTGTGGCATTCATTTTCACAAAGAATGTTTCAAGATCTATCCTTCAGTATAATGCTATCAGTGATAGGACACTATCCGTATGCCTACAAGGAAGACTAGGTAATACTACTGTTATTCAAATTTATGCACCAACCACTAAAGCCAAAGATGAGGAAACAAGATTTTTACCAAATTCTGCAGTCTGAAATTGACGAAACATGCAATGAAGATATGTTGATTATTACTGGTGATTGGAATGTGAAAGTTGGAAACAAAGAAGAATCACTGGTAGTTGGAAAATATGGCATTGGTAATAGAAATGATGCTGGAGAGTGAATGATAGAATTTTACAAGACCAACAATTTATTCATTGCAAATCTCTTTTTCCAATAACATAAACAGTAGCTATATACGTGGACCTCACCGGATGGAATACACAGGAATCAGATCAACTACATCTGTGGAAACAGATGATAGAGAAGCTCAATATCTTCAGCCAAAACAAGGCTAGGAGCTGAACAGACCATCAGTTGCTCATATGCAAGTTCAAGTTGAAGCTGAAGACAATTAAAACAAGTCCACAAGAACCAAAATATGACCATACTTATATCCCTCCTGAATTTGGAGACCATATAAAGAATAAATTTGATGCATTGAACACGAATGACCAAAAACCAGAGTAATTGTGGGATGACATCAAGAACATCATATATGAAGAGAGCAAAAGGTCACTAAAAAAACAGGAAAGGAAGAAAAGACCAAAATGAATGTCAGAAGAGACTCTGAAACTTGCACTTGAATAGGGAGTAGCTAAAGCAAATGGAAGAAATGACAAGATAAAAGAACTGAAAAGAAGATTTCAAAGAGCAGCTTGAGAAGACAAAGTCAATTATTATAATGGAATGTGCAAAGACCTGGAGTTAGAAAACCAAAAGGGGAGAACACGCTCAGCATTTCTCAAGCTGAAGGAACTGAAGAAAAAATTCAAACCTCGAGTTGCACTATTGAAAAATTCTATAAGCAAAATATGGAATGATGCAGGAAACATCAAAAGAAGATGGAATGCATACATAGTCACTGTACCAAGAAGAACTGGTTGGTGTTCATTCATTTCAGGAGGTGGCATATAATCAAGAACCAATGGTATTGAAGGAAGAAGTCCAAGCTGCACTAAAGGAAGTGGTGAAAAACAAGGTCCAGGAATTGATGGAATACCCATTCAGATGTTTCAACAAATGGATGCTGTGCTTGCGGCACTTACTCATCTATGCTAAGAAATTTGGAAGAGAGCTACCTGACCAACTGACTGGAAGAGAGCCATATTTGTATTCATTCCAAAGAAAGGTGATCCCACACAATGTGGAAATTATTGAACAATACCATTAATACCACACACA